CCCCTCCCTCCTCCCTGCCAGGGTCGTGACTGCAGCTGGCCCAGGCGGCTGTCGGCAGCCTGGCTCCCAGCCCCTCACCCCCACCACCAGCTCCCACACGAGGGCAGGCTCTCACGGGTACCCCGAAGCCTCTGCGGTGAATGAAGCCTGGGGCCAGGCCCCCAGTTTCTTCATGTCCAGGGGGACCTGGCCAACTTGTCTTCAGTGCTTGCCCAGCTCCCGGGCATCCCTGCCTCGGGGCGGCCCGCGGGGACCCCACAGCAGGCCTCCGAGCCTTAGTGTGTGCACCTAGAGCCCACGGATCCTGCTAGCTGATGAGCTTCTTCCGCGTGTAAGTCCGGCCGACGGGGCGCGTCCTGGAGAAGGCTCGGCTGAAGGGCGACTCCGCTTCAGGCGGGAAGGCATCCACGTCTGCATCTAGAAGGGGCAGAGACTCAGCCTGCAAAGTGGCTGGGGCATGAGGGGGCACCCACTGCGCTTTCCACGGCCCGCGCAGCCCTGCAGGAGCAACCTGGGCCCATTCCGAACACCAAACCCGGGCGGGCGCTCCCTGGGGACAGCAGGGCGCGGCCTGCCCCTTCCAGAAGCCCAAGTACGTCAGTGGGGCCTCTGTCCAGAGGTGCAGGTGCCCACGAGCAGGGTTCCCCAGGACCACCCGTGGCATTCCACCCTCAGCACCCAGGGCAAAGCCATGGCATTCACGTCCTGCGGGCAGTCCCCCACAGGTCAGCAGTTTGGTCCTGGCCAAGGGACACTCTCAAATACCTGCGCCGTCTGCATGCCGGGTGGGCGTTTTCCCCTGGAACAGCAGCGGCGACTGGGTCAGAGCCTGGAGCCCACTGGCAGACAGGCCACTGCGCACGGTGCAGCCAGGGGGTGGGGTGCAACCTGGGGAAGGCGCAGGGTCAGCAACACCCCGCAGTGCCCGGCCGCCCGCCCCTGGAGGCCGACCTACCTGAAGCAAACACTGCGTCGTCCAGGACAGGCGCGGGGGGGCCGTCCTCACGTTTGTGAGCGTCCAGGCCCTCTCTCTGGCTGCCGCACGCCCTTTTGGCCGGGCACTCTGCTTCCTCCCTGGCGCAAAGGAGCCTCTTCCTGGAGCCCAACCCAACCTGGCCCCAGGTGGCTTCCTCAGCCCTGGGCAGGCCGTCCCAAGGAGGGGACTGCTCTGGCAGCTGGCACACACCCTCGAACTCAAAATCCCCCAAGATGGGGGTCCTGCTGGCACTGGACTCAAGGTCTGGCCCCTTCCCCTCTGAGGGGAGCAGTGCTGCGCCCCCCGCCCTTTTTCTCCGGGGCCAGTCTCTGATCGGGTCCGGGGTGGTCTTCCCGCTGCGCTTGGGAGACGGGCTCCAAGGAACCCCGTCTGTTTGGAATGGTGAGGGGGTACTGGTGGGGCAGCAGGTGTTTGTACAGGACTGGCAGATGTAGGTTTGGCCCCCGCCTTTGCCGGGGGTGCTGTGCAAGGGCTGAAGGCAGGGGGGTGACAGGTAGGTGGGTTCGGGTTTGCTGGAGAGCTTGCTACTGTCCCTGGGGGCGCCAGGCCCGGCGCCCTCCTCTCCTGTGGCGCTCTCCCCGCTTCCTGGGGGCTCGGCTTCTGACGCGGAGCCGGGCTCCACCTTCTTAATGCGCAGCGTGGGGAGGCCGGACGCCCGCACCTGCAGCTCCACCTCGTAGGTGCGCGAGCTGCTGGGTGCTCTGGACGCCGCGGCCTGCAGGCCCCCTGGCGGCGAGGCAGCCTGGCACCACCTTCTGTCCGAGGCCCCATGCAGGGCACAGGAGGGCGTCCGCGGGGAGCTGGGCCCCCAGCGAGGCGAGGGAGGACTCCCTTGCTGGGACAGAGATGTCTCTGCATCAACAATGTCCGCGCCGGGCCCCTGGCTCCCCGCCGGCGAAGGACTCCCTGCGAAGCTGTCCTGGTCCCCGCGCTCGGCTTCATCCAGGAGCGCGAGCGGCTCCATGGTGCTGACAGCGGGCAGAGGGGAAGGCGAAGGCCTCCGGCTCCCGGAGCCGGACCCAGAGGGGCTGGGCCTCTCCTGGGCTGGCCGAGGCGAGGGGCCAGCTTCCGCTGGGGCCTCTGCGGCACCTGCTGCAGCAGCTGGGCTGCTGGTCACGGCAACCCCAGGAGCAGCGGGGGAGCCTGGGGAGAGCTCCTGGAACCTTCCCGCAGGCTCAGGCAGCTGTCTGTCCCTTGTCCCGACTTCAGACGGGGGCCGAGGGGAGAAGCTGTCAGATTTAGCGTTCTGGGAGGTCCTGGGAGGAGTGAGGGGTACGGGACAGGAGCACGATGTGGCCACGCTGGCTGCTGGGTGGGGCCCCTTCCCAGCCAGGTCTCTGGGGGCAGGGGATGCTGCCGACCCCCTGTATGGGCTCTTCTGAGAAACATCACCCAGAGGATTCCTTGGGGAAGCAGGTAAGGAAGTCAGAGCTGTGTCTCCTGGTCTCTGTGGGGTGCCGACACCCCCGTCCTCTGATTTCCCTGCTGGCTCCTCTGCCCGAGCCGCCCCAGGCGCAGGGGGGTGCGGGTGCCTCTGGCTCGGAGGTGCGCCTGTGCAGGCTGGGCCCCGCCCCGAGGAGGCTGCCCTTGGGGGTGTTCTAAGAGCGCATCTGGTGGGAGTGCCAGCGGCCCACAGAGCCTGGGCTGTCGTGCTCGGGGAAGGCGGCCACACGGGGCTCTGTGGACAGCCGGGCACATGAGCCCCTGGCCTGTGGGGCGTTCCTGGTGCCTTTCCCAGAGGAGAGGCAGGTCCTCCTGTCAGGGAGTGTCCGCTCTGAGAGGTGGCTCTTGGCTGAGACGGGGCACAGGAGGAAGAGCCCAGCCTGGCGGGGGTCGCCTCCGTAGGGGGGCTCTGAGGCCTCTCAGGGGTGCGCTGGGGGCTCTGTGGCGGACAAGGGAACCTTCTCGGTGTTGCTTTGGAAGAGCCTGGAGATTTTCGGGACGTCTTCTTTGGTGTCTACAAAGGAAACACCCCGGGGCCGAGGATCACCCCCTGTTCTCGAAGGCGTCTGCCACCCCCAACGCTTAGCGGGCAAGGGGTGCTCTGACCCATCACCTCAGCAGACACCGGCCAGGCAGCACTCTGTCCGTGGGGCAGAGGCAACAGGCCGGACCGCAGGCCGGACAGGCCTGGTCGGGGCAGGGGAGGGCTGCGGCTAGCCAGCGCTGGGCGGCTCACGGGCCACGCCGTCGGGAGTGCGGCCCTGCAGGCGACAGCGAGAGGTGCGGCCGTGGGGCATGGGCACCAGGCACGGAGTCACTGGAGGGAAGGCCCGGGAGGGGCGTGCAGCCGCCGTGTGCAGCCAGGCAGCAGCTGCTGCTGCCGAGGCCCCAGCAGACGGCGGGGCCAGGCCGGCGGGGCCTCCCCGGACTCGTCTGCCAGGGAGAAGCCGAAGCTGGGCCCGCAGACCTGTGGTCTCAGCCTCCCGGGACTCCATGTTCCCCCAACCGCAAAGCAGCTCACTGGGGCTCCAGAGACTGCCGTTTTGGAAGGCAAGGGCAGGGCTCCGTTTTAAGAAAACAGAAAACCCTGCTTTACCAGATGAGCCCAAGCACAGGGATGTGGCCAGAGGCCTCTATGGGGCAGGGTGGGGCCAAGAGGAAGCAGGACGGGGAAGGTGGATGTTCTGGAAGATGCAACTTGTCACTGGAAAGGGCAGGAACGACGGGCTGGCAGCGCCGGGGAGGGCGCAGCCAGGGCGGCCCCGGGGTCCTGCTGGGGCGGCGCCAGTGAGGGCAGCGCAGCAGGTGGGTGACCAACACAGCACCAGTGTGCACAGACCCCTGCAAGTCCGGGTGCGGCCACAAGAAGATGGGGCCACCCCTCGCCTCCGCTAGACGGCCGCCCCAGTCCCCGAATCCCCGGTCATCAGCCCTGGCGCCTCTGGGCTACCACCCACAGGCCCTTGCAGCCTCAGCGGGCTTCCTTGGCCTCGCTGCTTGCGCAGCACTATGCTACTTGACATACTCCAAAAACTTTATACCTGATAAGCCGTAGGCCTCTCAGACACAGGCGCGTTTTCTGAAGGCCTCTTCATTCGGGCTGAGCCCTTCTCTGAAGGACTGATCGCCTCAGACACTGCCCCAAAAAAAAGCCTCTTGGGAGACTGAATACTTTGAACTGGAGAGTTTTCTCTTTGTCCTGCACAGCAAAAACAGTGACATCACTTAACTCCCTCACACTCCCGCCCTCCAACACCAATGAAAGCCCATACAAGAAACAAGACAAACTTTCGGAGCAACTGGGAGAAACCCCATGCCTTCTGGAAGCATAAGCGATCAAACACGCCTCCTTTATGACTATAAACAGAAGCCCAGGTGCCCAAGCCCGCGCCGGACAGAGAGCCGGAGGTGACAGGAGGCCACCCTCTGTGGGCCACCTGGCTGCGCTCCGCCCACGGCAGGGGCTGCGGCCATCTCCGGGGCGCCACCCCAGGGCCACCCCGACGCAGCGGAGCCCGCATTTCTGAAGCTGCCCAGAGGCAGCCTGCCTTTACTTCTCTGGTGCTAGGGAAGTGTGCCGACGGCCAGCGCGCCCCGGCCGCCCCGCGGGGCACGGCCTCGGCAGGCGCCGCATTACCTGACTTGCCCCGGAGCGAGGCGCGAGCTCTCTGCACACTGCGTGACTTGGGCTGGGACACGGAGTAGAAGGAGCCAGAGCTGGTCCTGCTGATCGACAACTGCTTGATTCGAGGGCTTCGTCTCAGACCTAATTCTGCAAAAGCGGAGTCAGAGCCGGCGGTGGGGGACCGGGCGCGCATCCTGCAGCCAGGACGGCTGTGGCCGAGACGTCGGAAGGGGCCTGGCGCGCCCCCGGCGAGGCGCAACGAAGGGACCCGCCCGGCCGAGCCCTTCGGAAGCCTCGTGGCCTCGCACAGCCTGCTGCAGCGTGCTGCAGGGCGAGAAAACAAAGTACAGTGCCTGGTAAAAACAATTTAAAAAGCACACGTGCGCCTGCATCTGCACAGAGGCGACCCCTGGCTGAGGTCACCAGCCAGCTGCTAACAGCGCGTCTCAGGTACGGGGCACCGAGTGATCGCTGAGATGTCGCCCTCTCTGCCTGTTCTGGTTTCTCTACATTAAAAATCAGTGTGAAAAGGGCCCTCCCTGGGGGTGCAGCGGGTTACAGCGCAGCACCAAGAAGCTGAAGCCACTTCAGTGGGAGTCCGGTCCCCGCCTGCCCCAAAGGTGACGCCAGGGTGCGGCAGACCTCTCCTGGCCCACCACTGCTCCCTTCAGTGTGCCTCACTGATCTGCCTATTCTGCTCCCCACTCTGTCTCTGGGAAATCCCCTCACCCCCCTGCACCTCTGTCCTGTACCCCAGTTCTGTATGCATAAGTAAATAAATCTTTAAAAAAAAAATCAATGTAAAAAGAAGCTAGTTTCTAGACTCCTTCTTCACCAAATCAGCTTTTAAATAAGCCAAGCCCTCTGCATCATGCGGCAGGTCGGGCCCTCCCTGCACATTCCACTCGTCGAGTACAGGTGTCTCCCAGCGCGTGCCAAGACCTCTCTCACCCAGAGGCAGCTACTGATTGCCAGGACAGACCCAGAACTGACACCATGTCTGTAAAATGTCTAAATCACTATCTTGAGAGACAAAACAAATAAAGGAGAACTTCCCACGCTAGGCAGACCGCAAAACAAGACAAACCCCCAAAACCAAAGCACCAGCCCCCAACAAATGTTGTGGTACCGTGGTCTCCTTTCTCTGGGGACTCCTCAACCACGTCAGTCTCAGGCCCTGGATCAGAGGACCTTGAGGAAGAAGCAGGGGGTCACTCGCCATCTCACTGCCACGCGCCTGCGCAGCGTCCGCTCCCGAGGGCCGCTGTCGGCACCCGCCTCCTGCCCGCGGGACGCTTTCCAAGATGCTTTCAAACGGCTCTGACGCGCTCGCCCAGCCCACACCTCACACTTGCTCTCAGCTCGCGTGAGCGCCGCTCTTGACGCCGGTCACGCCAGGCTGGCCCTGCCGAGGGGAAGGCCCGGCCCCGTCTGGGCACGGAGACCCAGACTGCAGCCTGGAGCGGGCAGGCGATGGGCCTCGGGACCAGGAGAGGCGCCAGCGAGCCCCGGTTTCCTCGGCCAGGTCTCCAGAAGCTGACGACAGGAGCACCAGCAGCTGCAGACCCAACTACTTGGGCAGTCAGCTGTCCCGTCAGGACAGCAGCCTTTCAGCCAAGGGCGCCGGCCCTCTCGGCCAGCGCAGAGACCCAGGGCCCCCACGCCTCGGCAGCAGGCCGGCAGCCCTGCAGTGCTGGGGAGGACGAGACCTGCCGCCAGGGGAAATGGAGGGAAACTGGCAAGGCTGCAGCTGTCCCTCGGTGGGGCAGACTCCGTGATGCGGAGGGCCGAACCGTGGGCGCAATCGGTCACAGGGCCACCCCAGGCCGGCCTTGCCAAGTGAGAGCAGGCGGCGCCCCCCCCTTGGCCCCCGGGAAGGCTGCAGGACGCTGCCCACCGCCGTCACCCACCTGCCCTGGATCTGCCTGTGAAGCAGCCTCCGGGTCACCTGCTTGTGCACAGGGGTCTCGGCCACACTCTTGGTCAGCAGCCTGTGGTCGCCTGCAACAGACGGCAGAAGCTGCTTGGCCCTTCCTCAAGCGGCGCAGCAAGGCCAAGACTTCACACTGAAAGGGGCCTTCCCGCGCCCAGCACTGCCACGCAGCCCCTCAGCGGCACAAGTGCAGACTCCGAGCAAGGTGACGTGAGGTACTCTGAAAGAGCAGCCCTGGGCGGCCCTGAGAGAGGAAACGTGCCCGCCCCATCCCGCTGGCCAGCCTGAGATTTATAAAGCCCTTGGAGTAAGGCGACAAGTCACCCAGCAGTCGCCTCAGGAGAAAGGAAACAAGGTCAGACCCGCGAGCTCCCGCAACCACGAGAGTGGGGCCACCCCGGCCCGAAATAGCGAGACAGCGAGGAGTGACCTCAGCCGCAGGCGTCACAGCCAGCTTGATGGTGGCGCTTCTCAGACACCACCCCTGGGAGTCACCTCTGTGACAGGTCACAGGCCTTGAGTCCTGAAGCAGGCTGACGGGGAGGGGGCAGAGCTCGGGTTTGCGGGATCTAGGCCGCTCCCAGAGAAGGTGGCTGGGGAGAACCTGCCTCGCCTCGTGCCTGGGCCTCCGGTCAGCGGGCGCGCGTCATCACAGACGCCTTCCAGCCGTGAGAGCGCTCTCCCCCGAGCCCGGCCCTCACTCCTGGTGTACGCGTGTCGCTGCCGTCCTCCCGGGATGTGCTCCCAGAGGCGCCCGCGTTCCCAAGCGCACCGGCTGCCCGCCCCGGCCCGATGCCCCGCCCGGGCAGTGTCACTGCGGAAGTCGGCACCTTTGGTCGTCTTGCCGTGGCCAGGCTTGCACCGCAGCCCTTCCACAGCGGACACGGACTGGCTTCTCAGCAAGCCCTGCTTCGGTGGTCTCTTCGAAGGAGACATCGTTTCCTCGTTGAAGAGATTCCTTCGAACCTTGGTCACTTCTGAAAGCATCAAAGATGGACGTCAAACACCGCTCCTAAATGTGGCCGCTGAGCAAAGGCAGACACCCAGGCTGGAAGAGCCGCTCGAGGAAGCCGCTTCACAACTGATGCTACATCCACATTCGCTTTAAAGAAGGAGGGCTTCCTTGAATAAGCTCACAAGCTCCTCACTGAAATCCAGCTGAAGCCCAAAGAAACTGCTGTCCTTCCCACTGGGAAGCAGACAGAATCCTTAGGGCGGGGTTTGGTCCCTGGACTATATCCTACTCTAACAATTTTTCTCACTTTGGACCTTTTACTGCTTTATGTATTCAGTCCAGCTCCAAGCAGAACTCTTCAGTTCCACAGATTTCAGTCCTCCTTTTGCTGGATTATTTTAAATTCTCTTTCTCACTCCAGGGCATGAGAGTTGTGATCCTCACGACCCAAAGTCAGGAGAAACAGGTGAAGAGTCACAAACCCTTGGCAAAGCCAGCAGGACGGCTGCAGAGAGCACCATAACCGGCCGAGGCAAATCCTCCTAAGAGCAAGCTCCTTAAAAACCAAAAAGGGCTGGGGCCTCCCTGGTGGCGCAGGGGTTAAAGAGCAGCACTGTGAAGCTGCCCGCGGCCACTGTGGCCTGAGTCCACCCCCGGCCAGGGAGGGACCCCAGGGAGCAGCAGACCCTTCCTGTCTCCCCGCTGCCCCTCAGCAGTCCGTCGGCCTGCCCTGCTCCCCACTCTGTCTCTGGTGGATGCTCTCACCCTGCGCACCTCTGGCCTGTGCCCAGCTCGTGTGTGCGTACATAAATAAACCTTTAAAAAAATCAGGGTTAGGCCCACAAACCAGGAGGGGCCTCCCGCTACCTATCGATGATATAATCGTGGCTGAGGACGACACCCAACCAAGTCTCAAAATGTGTTTCTGCCTGGTGTTTCCTGTGCAACTCCTCTGATGGCCTAGTTTGATTTGTTATTTTCTTTTTTTCCTCCCAAGTTTTTAAAAATTTTAGTATCTACAGAATGTTTTTTAAGAATATCATAAAGACTCATCACTAAAGTTCACCAGTTGACAACATCTGCTTTGTCCCTGCACCTCACTTCTCGCCTGCTCACCCCCAGGTGTGACGCACACCCCAGCTTCCCGAGTGCCAGCACCCCTCTCGTGAGAACAAGGGCAGCCGTCTCAAAGGGTCCAGCCTTGACTCTCCCACTGCCACAGCGCTACCCTTTACAGTTTCCCTTCCTCTGATGTAAGATGCAAGCGGGGAGGGCCTAATGGTGCAACAGGTTAAAGCGCAGCGCTATGAAGCTGCCCGCAGCCACGCAGGTCGAGTTCGGTCCCCGGCCAGGGAGGCTCAGGGGTTAGAGTCTCGGTGCTACAGAGATATCACAGCCACTTTCCTGAGTTCGGTCCCTGGCCAGGGAGTGACCCACGCAGTACAGCAGACCTGCCTTCCCACTGCTCACCTGAGCAGTGTATTTCAGTTCATCTGCCTGTTCTGCTCCCCGCTCTGCCTCTGGTGAATCCTCTCACCCTCCGCACCTCTGGCCTGTACCCCAGTGCTTGCCTGCACAGATAAATAAATCTTTAAAAAAAGATGCAAGCAAGGCCCACGTGACACGCAGAGCCAGGTCACCTCCACCAGACTTGCTGCCTCTCTTCCCTGGCTTTCACAGTAATAGGCGACTCCAGGTGAGCAGGACGTATGATTCTGCGACCCTATGGACCTCACTCCCTAGCGCATGGCATTTGGACACACTTCACTAACAATTACACAGAGGCCACGATTCACAATGTATGCAGTGCTCACACCATCAAAATAAACTTGTCACTGAGGTCAATAAACCCATGCACCATCCCAGGGCTCACCATGGCCACGCTCGTCACACGGACTGCACGGAGGGAGGCGAGGAGACCCTCCCTCCATGGGGCCACAGGCGTGGGCACGACGGGAGACCCTCTCCATAGGGCCACAAGCGTGGGCATGCCAGGAGACCCCCCCCCTGTAGGGCCACAGGCGTGGGCACGCCGGGAGACCCCCCCTCCGTAGGGCCACAGGCGTGGGCACGCGAGACTGAGACTACCTTGCCCCGTTTCCTTCCCGGGGAGCGGAGCTTGCTGAAGAGCAGGGTGGCGGTTCTCCTGAAAGACGAGAAAACCCAGGAGTATTCGGTTAACACACGCGACCAGAGTCCCTGTGCACCTTCCCTCTGCACCTGCACGACAGGAGCCCTGGCAGGAGCAGGAGCAAAGGCAGAGTGGGTGTGCCCGGGGCGCCTCCGCGCCCCGACAGCACATCGCGAGCAGCACTGTACCCCCCCAGCAAGACTCGGCGCTGGAGCGCCCACACGCCGCCTGCGCAGGGAAGGAGACCCCGGGGCAACACGCGGCCACACGGGAAGCACAGCGCGAGTGCGGCAGGCCGACGGCTGGCACCGGGGTGCGCGTGCCCGGGCGGGCGCTCGGAGTGCTGAGCGGCGCCGCCCACGCACAGGGAAGGCCAGCGTCTGCCGCCACTCGCCGTGGGCCCGCTGCCGAGAAGAGATGGAGGAGCAGCTGCCCCCCACTCTGCGTGATTTCAGTGGGGCAAGACCCCACGTAAGCCCATCAGGAGGTGGCTACCCTCGGGAACGTCTCTACTACATTGCGGCTCGTTTCTGTACTAGCAGAAGTTTCAAGAGTCTAAATTCAGGTGCACCTAGATAGCAGAATTACCTTTATAGATTTGTATTTGTTTTTCCCATTATGTTGCTCTAAGAGCTGAAAAATAACAAGTGGGCAGAAACTTAACCAAAGTTAAATCTCGATCTCAGTAATTTTGCCTTAAAGAAGTAAACTGCCTCGATCAATCTAAAGGGAAAACTTCCAAAGGCGTGCCGGAAAGGCCCGTGACCATGTCAAGCCTGGCCAGGGAGGCCTGGCCCCGTTCAGCCTCCATCTGCAGACTGCACTACGGAATCGGGGTCCCAGGTACCCAAGAAAGTGAGTACTGTAAAGTCTTTGAAAGGAAACTCTGGCTCCATTCCAAAGACAGTCGCAAGTCTTAGGACCTGAGCAAACCATTGGAAGGCTCAGGATTCTCGAGCCAGCTCTTGAGAATAGTTTTAACTATTTTCAGACCAAGCCTCACTTTATTCCTTGTCTCCTGTCCTTAGCAAGAGATTAACTCTACTTAGTAAACAGCATGTCTTTGTTGGCTTCCAGCCCCCCACCACAAGTCCCGCCGCCAGGGCCGCAGGGAGTGACAGCCTGCTTCATGACCTCGCCCTTGCCCGACCAATTTACTGTTGAAGTGAAACAAAGTACTGAAAAGACGCTCTGGCGTGCAGGTGAGCCCGGCTTTATCGAGCAGCGCTTCTTCATGGTCTCTGTCTCAGTGTTTTTACTGAGTTTCTATCTAAATTAAAGATTTAGAATTAACCTACTCCTAACGTTTACCTGCTGATTTTTACCTCTTCACTGGCACGCTTTCGGGTAAGAAAGTAAAGGATACGGAGATAAAAGCGGCTGTTCCCACAACTGTGGGATCCATAAACGCCTGCTCGTCTCCCACCCGCCAACGCCCACTGCCGAAGAATCAAGCCGCTGCTCCAGCCTCACAGACTGTGTCTACTCGGGCTGGGAGGAACAAGCCCTGGGCATGACTTACGGCTTTTGTGGCTCTCTTGGGTACTTTGGGAATTTCGATTTGTCGAAGATTCTGAGAAACGTCTGCAATGCTTTTATGTCTTATCAATGCATTTTTCCTTTCAAAGGAAGAAAGAAACAGTCAATATACACTGATTACGGGGGCCAGTAGTTATATTAGCATGGAGCTAGATCTGAAACATCTAGAAAAAGGCCATCGTGAGGATGGTCTGAGTTTACAACAACTCAGCATTTCCAAAAGTAACCGCTATACACTCAACTGTTATGTTCATCAAGGGAAAAAAAAAAATCACGGGAATCCCAGAAAGTAAGCTGGGACCCTAAGCTCATCTCAAAAGGCCCCGCGTTCCGGCGACCCCACGTGACGGTGCAGGAGCACAGGCGGTCAGCACCTTGTGTGCCAGTCAGCCCCCGGAGGCTGGTCCCGGAGTGGCCACAAGGGCGACTGGTCACCCTGACGCCCCCACGACGACAGCAGGCTGCGGCTTGAGCAGCCCTTGGCCAAAGTGCCGGTGCCAGCGGCCGGTGGCTCTACCTTCTCTTCTGAGCCGACCTAGTGCGCAGCTCCTCCAGCTGGTCGGACTCGGCGCCAGCCGGCGCTGATGGGCCAGCGTGTGACGGGAGCGCTTCGGAAAGAAGCGGCGACTTGCTCTGCTGGGTCAGGGAGTCATCACCAAAGAAATCAGCAGGAAGGACACTGGCCAGCTTCTGAGGGATCGCCAGACCCAGGCTGTCGTAAAGCTCTCCAAGCATCTTTGGGATGGCGTCGATGTACCTGGAGAACAGCCGGAACAATGTGGCACCCACCTCCCCTCCCCCACCAGCACGAGGAACAGGCCAGATGCCAGAACCAACGATGCCACAGGCAGGCCTGGGCAGAGCAAGTCCTCAGTGGCGGTCATCGCACTCACAATCCCAAAACCTCCTCCAGAAAGCCGGCCATGGACGCCAAGTCCTCTGTCAGGCACACGATGCGCAGCAGGGCGGCCACCTGCAGAAGAACTCAGTCAGCCCTGCCCGCGCGCCCAGGCCCAGCCCCACCCGGGCCCACAGTCCACTCGCCTCCTCCACCACGCACTCCGCGTCGCCAGCGCGTCCCTGTGCTGCAGGGCACTGCAGACACATCTCCAGGCGGAGGAGCACCTGGAGCTGGCACCTGGGGAGAACAGAGCGGCCACCTACGCGGGTGCCGCGAGCCCTGCGCAGGGCCAGCACGGCCCTCGGCAGCCGGAGCGGCGCAGGAATGGTCGGGAAGCGGCCGCCCAGGCCTCCCGCGGCAGCTGAGCTCTTCTGCTGAGCTGCGGTTCGGACCGGAGCCCCTCGGACGAGGGCAACGGGTGGGGACAGCGGCGGCTACTTACTCTCGGACTTGGTCTCCTCTAGCCGGGCTCTTCCCTATGTTCTGCCGAAGACTCGTGCTGGTCTTTAAGAGGGTCTTTTTGATTTGCTTCTGGCAGCGCACCTGAAAGCACCAAGCCGCCACAGGGGAGCTTCGCCACCGCCTCGGCCCCTTCGGCGCCCTCCCGTGAGCAGAAACGATGACGGCGCGGCGCCTCCTCCCTTGGGGCGCTTGGCCGGGGAAGCCCCAGCAGGCGGCACGCACACAGCAGGTCTGCAGGTCTGGGGTCTAGGAGCAGGGGCTGAGGGCCGCAGCCAGAGAGGCGCCGCCTGCTCACTTCAAGGGGGCCGGGCCAGCCCGGGCGGGGCCTGGCATGGTCTCCCGGTTTCCTGCGCGCGGGAATCATTTAAAGCACAGACCCCAGGTGCCACACTCCCGATGGCCTCAGCTGGTCTGCAGGGAGTCAGGCTCCAGCGTGTAAGGAAACGGGCCAGGCCGGGCCAGGCCCGGCCAGCGGGAGCCATGCAGCAGCCCGCAGCTGGCACTGGGGAGAAGTGCAGCGTCCTGCCTCAGCCTCACCGGGCCTCTGGGAGGTTGTGCCCACCCGTGCTCCCTGAGTTTTGAATCACATGTTACAAAACAGACTTCCGAGCATACCAACTGACCCCCCCACCAGCAGCCAAGACCACGCCCCACTTCTTACTTCTACTTCCTGGGTGCCCGTGGACCTGACGAATGCTGCAACGGCGGAGACCAAGCTCTGCGCGCACGCGCACAGCGCCACTTCCCCCGAGGACACAGCCCTTTGGTAACTTTCCTGTAGGTAAGACAGTAGCTCCTCCTCGGTCTTAAATTCTGTGAAAAAAGTCAAATTGATCATTACACTCAGCTACAATCATCGTGTCATCATCTAAACCACTGACGGTCAACGGGGGCTTCCTGCTCTCGGCGGACACTGGTTGATGACTGGGTTGTCAGGCTGGTGGACAGAAAGGGGCGGAAGTCTCCTAGAGGCCGGAGGCCTGGGGTGCAGGCCCATGCAAGGGTGCCCAGGGCAGCCCCCCGCAAAGGGTCATCGGGCTGAATGGTTAACTGAGCTGACACTGAGAAAGCACAACCAGCAGTAAACTTCCAAGTTTTGCGGAACGAGCACACGTGTTACAAATTTACGGTGACCACTAATGAAAAAGAAAATATACAATCTCCAAACTTAGCAGAAAGGAGAAATAGGACAAAGAAAACTTGACTGGGCCCTCCCTGTGGTGCAGGCCAGGTGGGGGGTGGGGGGAGAGGATTCTCCAGAGACAGAGTGGGGAGCAGAACAGATGGATGGACTGAAACCCACTGCTGAGGGGAGCAGCAGGGAGACAGGAGAGGCCTGCTGTGCCCTGGGGTCCCTCCCTGGCCAGCCGGGGTTTGAAGTCCTGCTGCAGTGGCTGGTGATAGCTTGACAGTGCTATCTTTAGCCCCTGCACCACTAGGGAGGCCAAATATAACTTAAAGAGACAAGGCACAAGCAATATTATTACTGAAGAGAGAGGAGGTGTTCAGGTGCATTTTCTTCATAGACAGCCACTGTCCGAGCACCATGCACTGAAGAGTTTACTCTTCCCAATGACTTACTGGAGCATCTTTGTCAAAACTCAATTTACCACCTTGTACCAGGCTAATTCTGGAAGGAACTGGCTACCGCCCCACTACTGAGCACGCTCCCGCGTGCTCCAAGGCACCTAGATGCTGGGGGGCTCTGAGCCTTTTATATATGTCTGTTCTTTGTTGCTGCCTTTGAGGGTAATTACAAACACAAGGGATGTCACCTTGCTCTACAGCAGACCCAGTGATATGCCATCAGGAGTGACGTCACCTTGCTCTACGGCAGTCCCTGTGACACGCTGTCAGGAGTGCATTCGACAGGCCGCACGCCACGGGACGCGGGTGTCCTGCGGCAGGCCCAGGCAGGGGCGCTGCAGAGGGGTACCTTTGGCTCTGGAGCTCCTCAGCACCCTTCCTCTGCTGTCCACTCTCTCGGCTGCCCTTGCACCGGCCACCTTCTGGGGACCCTTCTCCCCAGTGGCCTCTGGACTGCCGTCGGGATGCGACTTCTGAGCCTTTACGTTCAGCCTGGCGACATTCAGCATCTTTAAGGAACGGCACATGGTGTTCATCTTCTGCCTCACTGGAGTGCGAGGGACGGCTCCTGCCAGCGGCATCACGGGAAGAAAGAAAAATCCTTTACTTCTGTGAAACCAAGAATGTAAACTTCATTCAGATGAACTGTTCCTTGTGTGTGGAAGAACACCGGCGTTAAGTACAGGCCTTCGGAATCTTTCTCCCTACAGTACAGGGTAGAAAATTGTCTGTTGCAGTGAAAGCTCAGAAACTAACCACGTCCATGTGGTGAGGTGGGTGGCACAAAAGGCAAAGCCAGGCAGGCCCGTGCTGGGCTGCCAGCCTGGGAGCACGCTCCTTGGTGAGCGGGCAGCAGCGGCCAGCGCGGCCTTTATGCCTGTGTTCTAGATGTGACTTGGCTCTGGAAATCTTGCTTGGAAATCACTCGAAGAATAAGTCATATGCCTGTTTATGCTTGAAAAACAGGGTGAAAAGTTACCTTTTCCAGAAAAATGGAAAGATCTTGAGGGGAATCATGCAAGAAGTAAGTCAGAGTCAGACAGGCTGGGCGACTGCAGAAGTGGGCTAGGTGTCAAAGCGCACGTGCAGACCCAGCGGACAGCGGTCACTGCTGGGGGGTGGGGGCGGGCTACCAGAGGCCAGTGGTAGCCATCCAAATGTCCAACCATGGACAGATTTTGTAAATCTTGTTGCACGCATGGCGAGCTGCACCCCAGATGGCGTGGCAGCGGGCGACACACAGCCAACGTGGCGCTGACCCGGGACGCGTTATGGCCGAAGTGCGCATGGCCCGCCATCGAGACAGGCACTGCACTGACGCCGTGACTCCCAGATGTGAAATGAAGACGTGCCCTCCCTCAGCCCCACGCGTCTCACTGCGGGAGCGTCTCTGACACGGCTGCGGCCCAGCCCCCCACGGCCGCGTGCCTACGTTTCCTCCTGCCGTCCTCCTGCCTGGCCGCCGCCGGCTCTTCCCGAGACCTGCGCTGGTAGTGCTCAGACAGGCAGCGTGTGAACTCGCTTTCCACAGGGGAGGGCTCCTCCTTGTCAGACGAGGCAGCCTGCAGTAACCTGTCAACAAGTCAAGATGGCGGGTGAAGCTGCAATTCTAGTTTTCAAAAATAAGCAGCAATAACATCCTCTATCCTTTGAAAGTGAACCCAAAGATGTCACCACAATCTTTTTTTGTGGGAAAATGCACTGTGAAAACGCAGGGCCAGAAGCGACCGTCAGTCCTCACAGCATGGACTTTTTTGAATAGGATTAATTTCCTCGGACAAGCGTCTTATCCAAGCAGCCCACCCCCAGTCTGATTTTGCTTTTCTCACTTAGTTTTTTTAATGTATTACTACTTCGCTAGACAGCAGAAACCCACTTTTTGCCTTTTTTCTTCTGGTAACTGCTCTTCACACTGTTTATTGAGTCGCGTAGTCTTTCCCTGCTGACTTTTATAATGCTGCCTTTTTTTAACATTTACTTATTTGTGCATACGGAAGTGGGGTACAGGCCAGAGGTGGGGTGGGGGCGGTGAAAGGACTCCCCAGAAGAAGAGTGGGGAGCGGGACTGAGTGTACTGCAGAGGGAGCAGCTGCGCCCTGGGGGGCCCTCCCTGGCCGGGGTGTGTTGAGGTGCTGGGCCAGCTCCGCAGCGCTGTGCTCGACCGGCGCCGCCAGGGAGGGCCCGCTGACGCTGCCCTTGGTCCTAGGCCAAGACTCCGGGCAGGTGCGGCTCACTTTGGGGCTCCCTCTTCCGCTGTTGCCTGTTGGCCTATCCTTGCGCCAGGACGGACCACATGCCTTGCTCACCAGCGCCCACGGAACGCAGTGACCTCGCGGGGGGCAGGCGCTCACCTGCTAATGCCTTGGGCCCGTACCACGGTGTCAGAAAACACAGTATTTTGTGTCAATTCCACCAAAGTGAGCTACAGACCTACTGCACTGTCAAAAATCTTAACCTTTTTTATGGAAATTGACGGGCTGGTTATAAAATGTGCATGGAAATGCGAAAGGTCTGGACGCACCAAAGCAGCTCTGAAAAAAGGGGGAAAAGATCAAAGCCTAAGACTTAAGGGGCCTGACTCCAGCCCTCAGGCCATGACGGCAGTACTCCCACGCTCGCTCTTCCCAGAGACCTGCGCGCTGGCAATAAGCTGACTTCGGTGGGCAGTTAGCTGCGTGCGGAAAGGGCCGTCTCTAAACAAAGGGCAGAGCGCGAATCTTGACTTTACCTCCCAGTGAGTCTGGGCTGCGCCCACGGCCCTAACACTGTGCACGCCGTATCCAACCGGCTGGGGATCCTGCTGCAGGTTATTCTGACTCCTCAAAGCACCTCTGTCCCTGTCGCTCCCCGCTGCCTGCTTTGTTTCTGCCTCATCTCGGTCTTGGCCTCTGCTTCCGCCTGCCTTCTTGGTAAAATAAGTCCCCAAATCCCCTTGTTGCTTCCTGTGCTGAACCAGCAGGTGCCGCCTCTCATGTGTCTTCTCCGGAAGACAGTAACTCTGTAACTTTTCCTGTAAGTGTAAATTTAGTGCACTACTCAGGTGTGCTCTTTTCATTTTTCATGAGACTTAATACTACTCTCTGATCCCCGTAGTAAGAGCGCACCTTTCATAATGGGCATTCTCCACTTTCTCCTGTGGTCAAAGTCCAACACAACGGCACTATCTCCGTCAGTCCCGAGTCATAGGTCGGCAGCCTACTACAGCGTGCACGGCACCAACTTCATCCTCAGAAGCCTCTTAGCTCTGAGACGGCAGCCGACACCCACCCACTAGCCCGGAGGCGCGACTAGTGAAGAGACGCAGCTGCGGACAGGAGCGCCCACCTCCGGCACCAACCCCAGAGCGGGCGTCTCCCCGGCTCTTACCAGAACGACTCCATCAGGCCTGCGCTGGCGCCGCTGAGGTCGGAGCGGGGGAACCAGCTCTCCAGCACGGCCGGGCTCCAGCGCGCGCTGCGGCCCAGCTCCTGCTGCGCCCACTCGGGCACGGGAGGCGCTGCGGCGAGACAGGCGGGGAGCGGCGTGAGCGAAGCAGTCCGAGGGCGGGCGCCCCTCTGGGCAGCCGGCACCCCCAAGGGCAGACAAGGGTGCGCCGACGACACGCCTCCCTGGCGCCACTGCCACCGCTCAGAAGGCAGCAGCGGGCTCCGGGTCCTCGCCGCCCGCCCGCCCCCAGCTCCCCCGCAGGGCTCCACCTTAGCTCACTCCGGGGGTGCCGCCCACTGCGGCCCCCTCACTCCCCAGCGACCCCACCCCTCCCCGCCTGCTTTGTCGCTGGCAAGCATCCTACGTAAGCCCGACTCACTGTCTCCGGGCGCTACTAGACGCCAGGAGAGCCTCTGTCTGTCTGTTTCCCAGGCCTGAACCTGCCTGACAGGAAGCGGCCGACAGATCCCACAGATGCCACGGGGACGGCGCGCACGGCCTAGCCCGCTGGTGAGGGCTCAGGCGCTTACCGGAAGCCGCGGGACCTTCAGGGGAACTGTGAATGTGACGCAACACGTCTTCCGAGACCTCGGAGGCCCGGGAGGCTGCATCCCGGGCGCTCTCCGCCCGCTCCGTGTGGAGCGCGAGTCCGTGGAGCTGGGCCTCCCGGGGGCGGAACACAGTGAGAAGTGCGGCGTTGACCGAGACCGGGGAAATGACGCCCGTGCTGGCGGGCCGGCCCTCGCCAGGGTCCACGCTGACGACCTGCACGACAGGTTTCCGTTAGCGCTGGCAGAGGCCTCGGGAAGAACGCAGCTTAGGGAAGGCAGCGTGGCGGTTCCCCGGTGTTATTAATGAAAAAGAAAAAGCCGTGGAACTCATGGGTATTAAGAGCCCAACCATGAACTCCTGATCCCTCAAGTTACCACCAAGAAAAACCTGAGGCGGCCAGAAGACTTGCTTCGCACTAATGGTGCTTATTACAGAAACCTGGGCCCTCGCCCCGGAGCCAGGCGCCGCCCGGTGTTCTGCGGGCAGATCTGGGGCTGAGAGTGAAGCGCCTTCCCAAGGGCACAGGCACGGTGTGACTTGGAGGTCGCGCGCCTGGCGGCGGGGCCACACCAGCACCTGGGGGCTGGCTCAGGCCGCGCGGCGGGAACCTGCCCAGTGCAGCCTGACCCTGCGCTTGGGTCAGCGGCGCTCTGAGAACAGCATCCCAGCGGGCCGTGGCCTGGTCTTCTCTAGAATGTCTTACAGAGGATGCAGGCACTGTCTGAGCTCACACGGCGAGGGACAAAGCAACATGCGAGGTTTGCTGGAAGTTCAGAAAGCAAAGTCACCTTTAAATCAAATCTGGGGTGCCTGTTCCTTTGCAGCAGACACTTCTGAGTTTGCGTAGCCACTGGGCACCACAGTGTCCAGTGTGACAGCATAGTAAGATGCATTTATTACGTGAAGACGGTAAATACGTAATAAAACTTAAAAAAAGTCGACAACGAGCGGCCCGGGCCACCTGGACGCCCTAACACGCGTCAGGCCGCAGCCTCTCCTCGGGAGTGGAGTCAGCCTAGCCGGATCAGGGCCCGGCGACTCCCCGCACCGCTCCGTCCCTGATGCGCGCGCACCCTCGTCCTGACGTCACCCATCAGCTGTCTCCCTGGGGACGCGCAGGCGACCCGCAGGACACCCTCCCTCCCAGCACGGCGCCAGCGCGGGGCGGCCTCCTACCAGATGCACGTCCTCCGCCGTCAGCCTGCTCACCAGCTGCGGGCACAGTCCCGAGCCCCCACCCAGGCCGAGCAGCACCCAGCTGTCAGTGGCCACGGAGCTGCTGGCTGGGGGGGACCACCGGGCCACCGTGCCCTGGAGGAACATCTTCACTGGCCTTTCAAAATGCCTCTGCTGCATGGCCAACGGCTCCAGGAGGACTGTCCACACCTCGCGGCTCTCCTCGCCTAGCAGTGACAAGGGACGGGAGAGTCAACGGGAAACAGTGACGACACAGGTGACGGTGAGAAGAAAGCAGCGTGTCAGCTGGGGTGCTAGATGGCCGGCTGAGCACGCGCCCCGCTCTGCTGGGCAGCTGTCACTAGGGAAGGCCGCGCACGAGGAGACGCGGGCAGCACAGGCGTCAGAGCTTCGCCACACGGCCACTGAGAAGCGACCTTTCAGGCGGCACAGACTTACAAAAGAGGCAGCACGTCTTACACCCATAAAATAGGGCACACCACACCTTAGGAGATTAAATCCTCCAGAATGCAGGTCCATAAATTAAGGATTTCAATAAGGGCCCTCCCTGGTGGCGCGCGGGTTAAAATCAGCACTACCAAGCTGTCGCCAGCCACTGCGGCCTGAGTCCACCCAAGCCGGCGCGTGACCCCCGGAGCGCAGCAGACCCCTCCTGTCTCCCCACTGCCACCTCAGCAGTGGACTCATTGGTCCACCTGTTCTGCTCCCCACTGTCTCTGGGGAGTCCTCTCACCCCAGTATCTCAGGCCTACACCCCAGCTCTTGTATGCATGAATAAAAACTTTTTCAAAAGTTCAATAAATTTTCTTTTCAAGAAAAAAAGAACTTAGTTGGATGCATAATCTCAAGAAAGTGTGACACTGTAGAACAAGTCAGGAATGAATTTATCATGTCGCAAATCCTACAGGAACCCAGGCTTACAAAGACTCCAACCTGCCGGCCCTTGTGGGAGTGAGCACCACCTTTAGCTTCCTCTGACTCGTGCGACCCTTCCTCGGCCTCCTCTATGAGGCAATGGTGTCTCACGCCCCCCCTGCCGGGCACCCGGGCGACATTAGCCTTTACAGACACCTGCAGACGCAAGCCGCTCGACCGAGTGAGTCCTATAGCCGGCGGACAGCGGCGTCTGCCCTCACTGTTTAACTAGCAGCAAGCGTGCGCCGAGCCAGCATGCTGGAAATCCCAAAGGCGTCAAGAGCGTGAGCCTGCCCCGAGGAGGGGCGTGACGACCCCCAGTAGTATCTCTCGCTTACCTGCGACGGGGAGAACTAACGTTCCTTCCATCCGAGGAAACGCAGCTTCATACTCGGGCGACCGATGGAGCAAACGGTTTAATGTGGAGTCCGCCGGCAGGGCCGAAAGCCAGTCAGCGAGGGCACGCTCACCTGGCGGCTCCCGGCCACTGCCGCGCGGGGGCCCTCGGGCTCGGGCAGAATTCTGGCTGAAGGTCTCAGACGGCAAGACGGTGCCCCCCACGTGGTGCAGCAGTTCACACACTGTCCAGTAGCCCAGGTGGTCTGGGGATTCCCACAACTAAAAGAAAAAGGACCCAAACCGCAGTGATCGCAAGCTAGGCATTCACAGAGCCGAGGGAAAGCAAGAGGAAGCCAAGATGATGCCTGCGTGAAAGCACAAGTCACACAGCGAGGGCACCTGCTGGCCCAAATGCAAACAGTGGCCTTGCGGTTAGCGTCCCGCCGAGACGCTCATCCACGAGATGCCTGGAGCAGTCGCCCGCGAGTGAAAACAGCAATTCCAGTGCTCACGCAAATTGCGAGTAAACGCAAAATGTCTGGATCCACGAATAAAGTGACCCTGTCCCCCAGCACAGTGGCCACATCTGAGTAGGCAGGGCACTGGCCCTGCAGGGAGGCCACGCGGGCCGCCTGCGCACGGGCCCAGTGCTCTCGCTGGGCCCTCCGCAGCATCGCTGGCCTGGCCCTGCCCAAAGCCGCGGCCCCCAGGGCGCGCCTGAGCCTGCCTCTTCTCCAGAAGGCTCGAGGGCGGCCCACCGCCTTCACCACAGTCCCGACGTGCAGCCTTGCCCCTTCTCCCACTCCCAGCTTGGTGCCACGCACTGCACAGGCCGGGCCACATCTCTCGCTCGGTGAAAGCACCCTCCTGTCCGGCCCCGACCGGCTCAGCCGCAGAGACCCCGACTCCTCCCAGCTGGCCAGGCCCACGGCCTCCGCGTCCCGGCTGTTCGGAAACAAGGCGGCTCTCCCGGCCAGTGTTTGCACCTGCCCTTCTCTTTGCCTGGCTGACCCCCTCCTCTGCTCCAAAGGGCCTTCCCCAGCATCTGTCCTCTGCCTCCTCTGTCCCCTCAGCCCCCCTTTATTTGCTCCAGAGCGGCCCCTGCAATCCTATCACCTACTGCCTAGCAGCAGGAGAAGCCCCACTTGGGCTGCCCACACCCCCAGCCTCCGTGTGGCTTCTCCATACTGACTAAGTGAAGGGGCAGGAGGAAAGTGGGGAGGGTAAAACCAAACTTTCCACAGCAGTCAACCGCGAGGGGGGCTCTGCCCCAACAAAAGTCCAGTGGGCCTGAAGATGCCGCCCGCAAGCCTCGGTGCACCTGCCTCAGGGGAGGAGCGGGGCAGGCTGGAGCACAAAGCACAGTGAGCACCCCAAGAGGAGCCTGGAACTTCAGGGGCGCGATGGCTTGCTGCCATTCGGGCAAGGCCCCAGCTGGCCTTCCAGGCCACTGGGCAGGACCAACAGCCTTCAGGCCCTGGCGCAGGGCGGCTCCGACTGGCTGGACTAGGCCCAGCGGGGCTAGCTCCTGCTAGGAGGCCGGGGAAGGCCCGGGGACCCCAGGCCTGCTTCCGAGGGGACTCCGCGGGCTACCTGGCTCAACCTGGGCCCAGCCACGGCTCTGCCGAGGCGGCCGGGTGGTCCGGCGGGAACTTACCCGGGCCTGCTCGGTGGTGTCCACCCAGTACAGGGTGATCCTGCGCGCGGTCATGACCTCCTGGACCCTCCTGGGCAGCAGCGAGTCCATCACC